ACTCTTGGAAACTAGATATTTGTTTGTAAGGCCATCACAAAGCCTGAAATAAAATATCACTATAAACACTGCATGCATTCTTCATCACAAATTATTAATTTTAGATAAGTTTTGGAAGACATCAGTTCAAGATGTATTTCTGTTGAAAGGATGGCTTTCAGTTGCCCTACCACAGAAGCACGAGGAAGTCCTACAAAACAAACCACAAACCCCCAGAAGCTGTATGCTTTCGATACCTTTCTCAAAGCCTGTATCAATCAATTAAATGATACATTTGTTCCTACATTCATTCAATGCTAGTCCGTATTCTTAACTGTGCATTCACAGCAAGTCACAAAAGCAGCTCCAAGCTGCCCTCCTGTCACTCAAATAACCAGATAACGCATACCCAAGATGGAGCTCCATCTGCCAATTAAGAATAGGCAAGAAACAGTTCGACATCTGTCACGCGTTTTCAGAGTAACATGCAGCAAGAAAGCTGCAACAGCATTTTTAACTAAAGTCAAACAATTTCACTCATGTTGGCCCCTTACAGAAGACAGAAGGGCAATATGATCTCATCAACAGATGGAAATCGAAGTCTAAGGTGTCTTTTGTACCCAACTAGGTGTTAGCGTCGGTTTTAATGTCACAAGAGACAAACTTTTAAACCTATGATATCTCTAACAGCAATACTTTCTGATGAACATCTTCATGACTCCCCATCACATACCCTGAAAACTCTGAAACCTTCTCCAGTTGCATATTTACCTCCACAATGCTGTCTTCTCCTAGTCTCACTTAAACCCTTGACCTCCTCACAGAGGTGCCCGAGCCCCACATCCTACAAATCTTGCACGTGCAGAATGGAAGTGCATATGTAACAGTGCTACCTGAGACAGTTTCTACTAGCCTCACGGCTTTCAAAAATCTGATTTACAATTCTCTTAATATAATGGCCATTTATAAAGTACTGACAATAACTCATTCCTGACTCTTCCTTCCCCAAGCTCATGATGCTTGTTTTTTTTTTTTTTTTCCTACAGCTCCCACCATCTGGAGAAGTCCAAAAGATATTTCTTTCTTCTTCCCATCAAGTTTCGGTATGCCCATGCTCTTTTGAAGGAGAATCTGCCTCTCCTCAGCTAGTTTTTGCCTATAATACAAGTAGGTGTGGGGACAAGAGCGGCAATATTCAGTGAGGCATAATTTGATGCGAGTATACTGAAACTATTTCCATTACACATTACAGACATAGAAGTTTCACTGCAAAAGGGAAGTTGGTAATTTTGCTTGCCAAAGGATTTTCATCAATGCGTTCAAAGGTCAGCATACATATGCTTGACTGCTGGAGTAGCAGCCTGTTTTGCAAGATGATGGCTGAGGAAAAGTTACTTCTGTAAAATCAACAAATTGTTTCAGCTTGCAGATACAGTACTGCCTGGTGCGGGCAACTTCCTGCCTAATACTGGTATCATCGTGGATTAAAAATAAATATCACAAATTTTGTTTCGGAGTCAGCAAGCCTTTGTACTAAGTCAGAAATGCTATCAGTTAAAAGATATGACTTTACTCTCAGAGAAACCAGTAAATATAAGAAGTTGGAAGAAATGCAAAGAATAAGCCTTACTATTTGGAATGATAAACCCAATCCAGTTTCAGCAGACAGCACTACTTGAACAACAAGTTAAATACCTGGAGACTGATAAACTAATGCTTCTTACTCCCGCATGCTGTATTAAAAGTACTAGCGGAGTGCACATTAGATACTCCGAGATAAGTTTTGCTTTAGGAGTTTTAGTGTGAAAATTAGCTGACTCTACTGCATTTTACTTTCCACGTAGATCTTTGTAAAAGCAGAAGTCTCCACTCACAAAGCAAACTGAACAACATAACCTTACGTAACAAATTTCCATTGTAAAAAATAGTTTCATCCTATGTTAACAGTGATAAGCTCATCCTTACTAGTGATCACAGCAGTGCTCTTTGGCTCATCAATCCCTTCAGAAATTTGAGATACGTATAATAAATTTAAGATTGTTGAAGGCTAAAGACCTGCAGACCGCAAGCTGAAAACACACCACATAAGAGTAACTAAAGGAATACTGGAAACAGATTGTTGGTTCACTTCCCTTAGTGGATGGCAAAGTTTGCTGACTGCATTAGTTATTCCAGACAGCCAAGATGAAGACAGAAAGTCCCTGAGCCAAGGCTCACTCAAAACAACATTCTGCAAATTAAAAGCACATAGGCATTGCATTTTTATCTTACTCCTTATGCACCTGTTAGCCACAGGATACTGGGCTAGGTGGACTTACAGTCTGAACCGGTAAAGCCATGATTATAGCACAAACACAGTCTCGAGGAGAAAAGTCAAGGAACCACTTGCAAACCTCCAAACAAACTACCAGGATTAAGCCTTACAGGCATGGTTTGCATGACAGCAGAAGAGAAAGAAATCTGAAAAATAAGGTTTTTATCTCAGTGACATAAACATGTTGTTCTACTTATTCTGTCTTCTTAACAACTCATTACTGACTCATTCCTGTAATATGAACATGGAGTGTAAATAATATGAATATTCTATAATAAAAAACAAGATGCCCATATTCCTTTCCTCCTTTCTTGTCTTCCACAACTGTCAGGAAAAAGTTTCCATCACTCTGGTAACTGAAATTAGTGAACAATAACGCAACTGGGAAAGGATAAGGAAGATATTTTGGGCTTGGGCATTTAATTACGGCAATAAAGTTAGACTCTACATCTAGAATTTGAACTAAGAAAAAAGTTTAAAGCAATCAGAAGTTGTACACAATGTAGTTAAAAAAGGCCCCTAATTACCTCACCTCGCACAAACAATATTTATGAGTATGATTTAAACAATAAAGTTTGACAATACATCTCAAGCAGATGCTTAACAATTCCAGTCTTGCTAGGAACCAGACAGAGTAGAAGAGATCTAGGGTACCACTAAAGGCATACAACATAGCGGGTACTAATTCAAATGACCGTGAGCTGAAGATAAGTTGTGACAGTAAGTACCACTGTCTTGGAGAAGCCCCTGTTTGGAGAACATACAAACAAGGCAGCCTGGCAGCTTATACCTCAGAAGACTCAGTGTACTCAACCAGGAATGCTAATCCAGGGACCTCAGAACTTCTTTTCAACTGGCAAAGGCCTGTTTAGGAAAAGCACTGCATTTCTGAGTTTCCCTCCATGCCACCATTGGTTATGCTTTATCAGTAGAGGAATAAATTCAGAGTTGTTAAATATGGAATTCCCCTAAGCTCATCACATACGTTAGTTAGACTGTAAAACTGACCAGCACCAAACAGCCAGCGTGCACTCACTGCACTTTGTCTTTAACAACAACAACAAAAGCATTTTCAAGAACATACAGCTTAGATCTGTATGACTGACTTAAAAGCAATACAACCAATACATGAGAAAGTCCAAAAAAAAAAAAAAGAGAGTATTTTATTTAAGCACCCGTCAGCACTTTGTACGAACAATTTCACTATTTCCTGTGTCGTCAACTTTCCTCTTTGTAGGTCCTTTGCTAAAAATAAAAAAAGACTGGCAGAAACAAATTATACGAATAGGAAAATGAGGTTCTGAAACCATAAATACTGCTTGAGAAACGAGAAGCATGCCTCAGTTATTAGCAACTTTCTTCAAGTTGATTCGTGTTGATATTAGTGCCCTTATAAAAGCAAATATAAGGGCAGGAAATAAGACAAAAATCTTATATTTACTACATAAGGTAAGAAAAAATAAAACCATCCTCAGTATCCTGAAGGCTTCAAAGTGAATCAGTGCAGAAAAGGAAATATGAAGGGACTAAGCAGTTCAAGAAACATCATGATAAAAGGTGACTGGAAGAAAGAGTGCTGCATCCATTTATGTTAGCCATCTCTTCCTAAATATAAAGAGTTACTTTATAGCTAGTACATTACCCAGTGTAGGTGGGTCTCTTTTTTTTTTTTTTTTGAAAACTATACGGCAATTAATAATCTCTCTTAAGCCTTTCATTGTGCCATACACACAGCAAAGTCCTCTTTAGGTAACTGCTACTCGGGCCTTGATCAGTTGGTGCTACTGATGTGGCATTTGAAAAAGGGGTTGCAAAGAGTAAGCAGAGGGGAAAGGAAGATGCAGTTTTACTTTCGTAAAAATGCTTTTTTTGAAATGCAGAAAAACTATTTTCTCTTTTTAAGTCTTTAGAAATGCCAGTGATATCCAGTTGTCAATCACATCTGCCTAGATGAGAATTCACTTCTTCCCTGTGCAACGAGCATTCAGTGCAATAAAGTGTCTAAACAGAATATGACATTTTGATAACATAAGTCATATATTATTTCATCTCATCCTTAAATCAATTTCCTTAAGACAAAAGGAGCCTACTCATTTTCTTAATATTATTCTTCAAAGTCAACATTAGTGGACTAAATGCTAGCAACCTCCACAATAATTTACCCCTTCATCCTCAAAACAGCATACTTCATTTTATTTTAAAAGTGACACCAACTACAAGAAGTTAACCATAAATCTCTAGTTTTGAAGGAGATTTCAACTCAAAAACATCTCAGTAAAAGACTTAAACTTTCTGCTGAATAATATATAAGCACAACTTAAAACAAGTCTTACAAAAACTTAAACCACAGTAGCCTGTTTTAATATGTTAGAGCTCATTAAAACAGGTTAGTTGAGTTTTAGAAGCACTGCTTTTCACCATCATGTCTAATAACCAAACTCAGCTTCTATCAAGGAAGTTCCTCTGTTTAATCACTAAGGCATTTCTACATAATTCTTAACTAGAAGTACTCCAACCCCCCCCCCCAGATTTTAAATACATGTATATAAATACACACATGCACATTCAGAGGAGTTGAGACAAGAGAAGAGATTTGTCAACGATCTGCTAAGAGCAGTTTGGTCGCTGCAGCTCTGAAGCTTAGCCCAACATGACCAATAACCAGCCTAAACAGCTCAAGCCATCTTCCATTTTCTAAAAAACTTACGTTCAAACGCGAAACGAACAATAGCGAAACAACAAGGAGCACAACTGGCAAACAGAGCACCCAGGAACCAGTTAGCGTCACGTTCTGCATTTCGTATATGACTCGTTACTGGGCCAGTTCTGTGAAGAGCCTTTTTTTAAAAAAATAAACACATCAATAAATAAATAAAACGCTCCCCATAAACCCGATTTCCACGGCAAGAGAGAAGAAAGGGCGGCTCAGTGGCTTTGCAGGGGGAAGAGGGCCAACTGTTGATGCCACCCGGGCACGGGGGGACGCTGAGGCTCGCGGGGGCCGCGGCGAGCCGCC